CCGTGAAGGGCCGATTCACCATCTCCAGAGACAACGGCAAGAACTCGCTGTATCTGCAGATGAACAGCCTGAAGCCCGAGGACACGGCCGTGTATTACTGTGAGAGACACACAGTGAGGGGAGCAGGTGTGAGCCCAGACACAAACCCTGCAGGGGCAGGAGGGGGCAGGGCGGGTCCACTGGGGCGTGGTCCCGACCCAGGGGCCCAGGACAGCAGGAGGCATAGGAGACTCAGAGCACAGAGCACAGCCAGGAGCAGGTGCAGGGTGGGGCAGGGGCCTCCTGCTTGGAGCTCCCTTTGCAAGGCCTCAACTCCCCAGCTCACCACAACTCCTCAGGTTACCCACATTCCTGGGGCGCCCCAAGGAGGAGGTGACTCTGTCACAGTGTGGCCTCCCCTGGAATAGGACCCTTCACCAGTCCCAGGTGTCTCTGAAGAAACTTCACACTAGAACTCCCTGGGCTCCTCATCCCCGTGTCCAGGTCAGATCCCTCTGGCCTGGCACAGGTGACACTGTCCACTCAGTGCTCCAAGATAGAAAATTCCAGCAACCTCACCCCCCTCACACAGTAAGCACTGAAGAAACCAGTCAAAACCCTGGCAGGGATGAAGGGAGGGATCCCCTGGAGGCCCCATATTGTCTCATTATTCTCTGAGCACCCCACATCACATTCTCTTCCACACATACAAAAATGCACCACCGAGGGGTCCCCTGGGTCCTCCTGGACCATGGTCACTGATGACTTGGCGCCTGGAGAGAGCTGCCCTACACGACCTCATGATGAGACATGGGCAATGCAGGGCACAGCCAGAGACACGGAGCCGGGCCCCCAGATAGGTCTTCCAAGAAGCCCCCGAAAGGCCCCTGCACACTGGCCACAGCACACTGACCTGCTGTGCATAGAGATGTCCTGTCCCCACCACTGAGGTGCCAGGAGAGGACAGCAGGGAACAGGCCATGCGGTGACAGGCTCACAGGGCCAGTCCTGTCCCTCCTGGTCCTCAGTCCCCACCTCCGGGAGTCGCCTCTGCTCCCCTGAGAGCCCTGACTCTCCC